ATGGTTTTGTAGAGAATTCAATAAGGAATCTTTTGGAAAAAGATTTGGATCGATAGGATAAAAGCCGGCGGAGTTATATTCAAAATACGGGAGTGCGTTTATTTATGCGCCACCCGTTAGTAAAATAAATCGGATGATTTTAGCTACATAGCTTTTAGCTGCGGAGGTGGTAGAAAAAACCTTTCTTGACATCATTATAATGGAGTCTGTATAATGGATATTCATGACATTCACAACTAAATCAATATTTTTGATGGTCTTGAAGATTGATATTGACAAACGTTATGTGATTTAGTAATCGTTTCAATACTATCAAGTGCATTGACCAGATATTTAGGATTTGTTTTAGTATTCCTTACAGAACGCTATAGTAGAATGAAATAAGAACTTCGTACGAGTTTTATAATTTTCTTAGCAGATTATGACATAGAAGCTGGCGACTAAAGTTGCAGTATCGTCTCTCAATATCTGTTTGGATGATTCTGTTCTTAATTGAATTAATATGAAAATATTTTTTTTCTTATTATTACGTAGTTTGATGATACTTCATCAGTGTTGTGTCGAATGCCAAATGAGATTCTGATAATGATAATGGATAGTTTACCAGCGATTCATGTTTTAAATTCATTTTTCTGTGTGAACAAACGTTATCATCAGATAATTCGGCGATATATGCATCAAATCAATTTGGCAGATGTCGATCCGCATATTAAAGAATATTCTTGCAGCACGTTACTTCCAGCTATTAGACTAAATATTGAAAGTTTAATATTAGATGATATTGAAACATTTCAGAAAATACTTTCATTCAATTCGAAGACCATTACTCAATTATTTCCTTATTTGAGACATTTTGAAATCGTGAAATGTTTTGATGTCAATCGATTGTCTAAATGTTCTATTCAATCTCTTCGATTATTATTCAGTTTGAAGCTTGAAATAACTAATTTAAAATCCGATGCAGAATTTCGTGATCTATTGTTTTGTGACGAATCAAGGATCGAAATTTTAAATATGAAATGTAATGGATCAATCGTTCAACTACAAGATCAGCAACAAGATTCTTCGCGGACGCTTCGAAAACTAACACTCACGTTGCAAAACTATAATGATTTTCTTTACTTACTGAATTACATGCCAGCACTTGAATATTTAGACGTTAAAGCTCATAATATTAATGATGGAGAAGATTTGAATTTAATTACATCAAATAAATTTCATTATTTGACTGAATTCCATTTTATTTTGACGAAAATGACCATGTACTTTAATCGAATTAATTCTCTATTGAGTTTATTCTATAAATTAGAGCGATTATCATTAAATATAATGTGTTTCGAGTGTCAACAATATATCGATGGTTATTATCTTATCGGTAAGTCTGTCAAGTACAGTAGACCAAAAAGGCCTTATATACATGTGATTTGAACCTTTGTTAAAGTATGCTCACTTACCAGGAAACTGTTAGGGAGGTAAAGAGACCAAAGATCCAGAGTTCAGAATAGAGAAATATCAAACATACAAGTCATCAATGCGGTGTTTTGTTCTCGGTTCAAGTGTCCTCAAGGTAACTTTAGTGCTAACTTACCACAAATTTTGTGTGCTAAATAGAATTTTTTTGTCGCTTCATCGAAAATGAGTTGAAACATTTGATACTTTGGAAAAAGTCAATTCGATTCAAAAGTTTAACATAGCCTAGTGAGAGGCCTGGAAAAAAATGTACAAAGTCAAGTAAACTCCAAAGTACTTTGATTGGCAGTCATTCTCGGATAACTTGCCCAGCTCTTTAAAGACTTTAGAACTCTTGAAGATCTTATAGATCTTACCTCAATATAGATATAAGAGCGTGAGTACAAGAATTTTTATCAAAACACGACAAATATTAGCATTTCATCTAGGAAAGGTTGTGATATTCTTTAAAACTAGAAACCAATATTTGAGAATCTTAGATTTGTATTTTGCTATAATTCCCTTTCAAATATTAAATTGAAATAGAGCATTGTCTTTTGACACGAAGTTATTTATCAAAGACGTGTATTTTTTTATTAATTGAACTGTGAAAAGACGTGATTTTACTTGCAGAAAAGATCAAAGTACTTTGGATATGTAATATCTAAGAGAAAGATTGAAGATTTTCAGAACTAAGTTTCTACAACATCAGACTGGCCCAAGTGTTTAATGACAATCCGCATATCTCACGAGAGAGCTAGACTAACTGCCTGCTGATTCATCATGAGAATAATTTTTTTTAATTTTCTAGAAAGTCACGATTTTTTCCGAAGCTCAAAAATTTAATTGATTTTGAATTTTATTTATTATCTATTACATCGTCTGATATTATAATTATGAATCCGACTACTGCGTATGTCATAGAAACGTTTCAGTCGGAATATTGGCTCAAAACAGGATGGAAAATTGGCTGTTTTGTAAATCCGGTTCGAGATGGTCTACGTTTTGAGTGTCATGTATTCAGTTTACCGTTTAAATACGAACGTTTCAGCTTTATGCCGGATACATTTCTGAATTATAAAAAAAATTATTTGACCGTGATGGCATGTTGTAATTGGATTAATGTTCGATTTCTATTTTTACATGATGTTAATCATCGACAATATTCGGTTGAATTTTTTAAACTAATTGAAAAGGAATTTATTAATTTAAAAACGCTCTTCATGAACAAAGATTGTTCGTTAAATGACCAGCTGATACATGATCGACGATTGACATTAAATACGGTGAATGTATTAGCTGTAGATGACGAAAATATGAGCAAAGACTTTGGTAAACGTATGTTACTTATGGTACCAAACATTAAGATATTGATCATATGTTCTAGAAATCTCATGGAGATTACAAATAACTTTAGTGACCAGGATTTGCGAACAATTTGCTCGAATATACTTAAAGTTGGTCATTCAGACGATAATGGGAATTTAATTCAGTCAAAAGAATATTTTGAGTATTTTCCAAATCTTCTTAAGTAGAGTCATATTTTGTGCTTTCAATAAAAGTCATTGAATCAGAATAACAGAATATCTTAGTATCATGTATCCTATATCTTCATTACAAGTACAGATTGTGATGCAAGGTAGAACATTTGTTATTAGACAAATGCAGCACTAGCTAGACTCAAAATGAGCACTAGAAGCGTCGGTTGGAACTTTTCCGCTATTCTTCAGATCAAATATAATTGTAGTTACTGAATAATAAATGTACTGAAGTGTCTTTTATCAAAATATAACCTGGATAAGGTTTCAAAACATTTCCTAGATATCCTTTTATAAATTAAAATAACATTTAAACTCGCTATCTCATTAACCTAGTTGGAAGAAACATGACAAATGACTTGTGAAGATTACAAGATGAATGAACTATTTCGATTAAAATATATAAGTTAGTGCTTTTCTTATTTTATCCCATAGTCTACTGCAGCGCGTATATAGAAAAGTGAAAAGCGGTAAGAGTAAAAGAAGAGAAGACTGAAGCGGTACATTTTATCTCTACAGTTCAGCTATATTTTCTCTTTTCTTTGCTTCTGTGCTCTAGAATTGCCATTTAATATGATTTCTATTCTGTAATTGAGCAACATAAGAGAATTATAGTTACTCAAAACATCTAGAAACTCCACAAACACGTGCTAAAACAGCTCTAAATCATGAAGAATCAGGATAGACGTCTTGTCTTTTCTTGAAAACAATCACTTTTATTCAACAGTTCAAGGAGAATGAACGCTACGCACTTTGCGCCACGTATAAAAAATTACGGGTCACACTTGTCGTTATTCATTACCCAAGGCTTCAGTTCAATCCGTCTGACGCAAAAAAAGTCGATTCTTTCAGCTCTCTCAGAATGAATATTTAAGAATTAATTAATACGCGTAAATGCATCGCCAAATGTTCCTTCTCTGTGCTCTCTTCATACGAATCATTTTCAGTACAAGGCGGATGGTTGATTAGTTCAACCAATGAACACCTTTTGGGTACCCTTTTTCACTTCACATTCTATGGCCAACGAATTGTTTCTTATCTGTTGCCTACTGAAGGTCACTCTCTAAGAGAGCTAACCATTAACTTGATAGAAAGTGTAAACCGTGGTGTGAGGGTGAGTCACGAGGCACTGTCACGAGCTACATCAATTTAATAGACTTCCTAGGTGCTTTTATAGATATTTAAAAACAATTTGTTGTCATGCAAATTATAGACAGCTAACAGGCTGTTTCCATTTCCTCCCTCGTCTGTTGAAGGCTTCAACAAGTTCAGAATAGTAAAGCTTTCTTGAAAAACGACTAATATTCCTGAAGAACAACAAAGATGCCAACGGTTAGTTACACTGCCTCATGCCAAAATTCTCCACAAAAATCAAAAAGAGAAATATAAAAACCGGCAAATATAACCAATATTAAAACTACTCGAACAGACCTCAGCCACAAAAACAGACTAACCAGAATCTCACCATTCGTACGGCATATCTAAGAATCAAACATAGTATATCGTGAATTCTCCAGTTCTCCCACAACCAGACTAGAATCTGACAGAACTACAGCAGAACTGAAGCAGAATCTGTCAGTTTGTAGAGCATATCTAACTGATACATACTATAATGCGTTTTTAAAAACGGTGTGTAGGGGCGCGGTACTTATAACTTTTTGACCATGTTAGCTAGCCGCATGCGGTTTTCAGCATTGGATAGAGCACGTGAGGGCACATAATGCTATAAAATAGTCAGGGCTCTTGATAAGATTTGCAATGGTGTATCATTTGAAGCAAAATTCGAAAGCTTAGCGTTTTCAAACCACACGACGAAGTCCAGTTTCAGATAACACCAATCGATAGACAGGACATCACTCCTCAAAACTATGCAGGGGCCAGCCCTTTGTCTTCTTTTGGTTACGAGGGCACACCTATCTCATCCCAGGCAAGTCTGGAAATCTCAAAAACAATTGAATCATAGGTAATCGCCCACACTGTTCATTGTGGCCATGTTTCTTTCATCCTCCACTCAACCATAACCTGAGTAAAGCTAATCCTCAGACCAGATCTGAGAGTGTAAAACTGGCCGAAAAAATCGCATCTGAACTTTAGATGTGTGATAGGGTTTCCAGAGATCCGCTAAAATACCGTATGCATAAATTGAAAACCTTATGTAACTTTTTTGACCCGATTTATATTCTCTGAGCTAGCTATCATGATTTTTATGTTATGGTCTAAATGTTAGGATGTGGTTAGGATGTGTGTATTTTTAGTCTTTTGGATTTAGTACGCTTCTTAGACTTTTAGACTTTTACATTTCGTACTGTTCTTAGATTTCATAGACTTTTAGATTTCTTAAACTTCTTAGATTTCTTAGACTTTCAGGGTTTTAGACTATTACATTTCTTACACCTCTTAGACTTTTAGCTTTCGAGATTTCTTACACTTCTTAGGTTTTTTTTTTTTTCTTAGGATTTTTGAAAATTTAACTCGTTTAAACGTAATTTTGGTAAAAAAGATATTTTTAACGAGTGCTAACCTGCGTTAGGGTATCAAAATTATTTCATGGGAAGGAGAAAGACAACAAAATGAAGTTCTT